TGATGACGTCAAATGCGCGCTTTCGTCGACCGCGATTTTGTCGTCCGCAGTTTTGTGGTGGAACCGAAAAGATAGCTATACTATAGAAAACTCTTAGGATTTTTTGTAATATTTCTGTTCTCCATCCCCTGATCAGAAATACAGCCATTACTGATATATACTGACACAATAACAAGGAAGGCATAATTTTTATTATATGAAACTCCTTTGAATATGGAGAGGTGCATCATACATTATAACATAATTACATATAAAATTACCACATTTCTCTCTCATTCATCTATGCATTAAGAGACAAATCTAAATAATTGGCCAATTACGGTTAAACATTTTCTTATCTCCCCTCTACTAGTTCTTTACTTCAAATTTTCCCCTTCTATGACAAAACATTTAGGTGGAAATACAGATTGATATCTGCTGTAAATCACTTTGCCAGAAATGATGATGCATGCATCATGATGCAGATCTGGCCTTTTATAGTTGGTCCCAATGTTGGATACTAGTACTTAAGTTGTACATTTTGCATCATATCATGATACATCTATTGTCGATTGCCTCCCTGGATGCCTTTAGTGGGAAATTCCTTAAATGTTGCCTTTGGATAATTTCAGGAAGGAAAAGAACCCAGTTTATGTATAAGATTTAATTTTTTGTGTGTTTACACACAAGTTTACATCCTTCCATCCTTAACTTAAACATGTTCAATTATTTCATGATGGCTCATATACTCACAAAGAGTTTAGTGTTTACAGCCTAAACCTCAGGAATGAATGGAGTTTAACTTATTGATGCAAGTGGATTTAGGCATAAATATGCTTTCCTATGTAGAAATAGTTGCTAGTGGAATAAATAACTTGAAAAGTATACACCAACACTTGCTGGGATATCTGATATCAGAAATTATATCGGACACTATTGGTGCACTAATACTGCTTGCTTCTTTCAGCATTTAAATTGGCTTTCTCTGCAGATGTGTTAGAATTTAGGCCCTTGAACTAGTATAATTACTATGTAGCAAGTGCCATATGTGTGGTTTCAGCTTTATGACTACCGTATTTTGCACATGACATTACTCTGTATTGGCCTTAACCTGAGAAAGCACATATATAACATTTTACCATGTTGTAAATAACCCTTTGCAATTACAGTACTTCCTGGGTTTAATCCCACATTTCTAATCACCACTTCTCAAAAATGTAATTTTAAAATGTAAAAGAATAAAATCTAATAAGAAAAACCTGTCTCATACTTAATGCATCCACATTCATTCATCCGCTGAAAACGCACATATGAACTTAACTTTAATCAAGACATACGCATGATCAGAAATTAATTAAAAAGAGATTTACAAATGGACAGAAATGCAACCTTCCTCCATTTTTTTTTAAAAAAATGTTGTAATTTAGGATCTCAGTCATATAACTCTGTTAAAAGTGGCTTATTTTCAAAAGAATTATACCTCGAAATTTGGCCGTGAGAAAAAAAGCTCCTCTCTTGGAACACGGTGCCGTTTGCAAATAGTGGCGAATAGTGAGTGTCCTATTCCGCAGTAGGATTTGGCTTTCTGAATTTTATATCGCAATTGGACTATTTTATTACTAAGAACATACCTGTGACGGGGCTGGCGCCTCTGCTCGGCCCTGGGATGCGCTGGCCTTGGTACTCAAGCCCCTGATGGTGACGCCCCTTCCCGCCCCTTCGGGCTTCGCGCTTTTCCCCCGTGATCGGCTCTGTCCCCTCAGAGCGGCTTAATGGTCCGTTCCCAACGTCCAGTGCCCGCCCTCTTCTCCGCCTCTTGGTTCGCTCCTCCCAGTGCTGTTGATGCGGAACTGGCCGGCCGCCTGCCTGCCTGCGGGGAGAGGACGCGGCTTCCGCTGACAGGTAAAGGCGAGCAGGCCGCGCTTAATGGCTGCAGGAAGCGTCGCGGGGCTGCTTGCCTTCGCCCGCTCTGTGACATATGCGGCGGAGGGGCTGTGGGCAGCCGGGAAGGACGGCGAGGGTAAGGGGACAGAGGAGAGCCCCTGGGGCGGATGGGCTTGGGAGGACGGGAGGGAGAAGCCCGAGCTTGAGGGGGGACCGCGGGAAGCCGGTCAGTCCAGGGCGTGCTCTGCGTGGTTTAAGGAAGGCGGCGGGGATTCGGGCAGCCAAGGGGCAGATTGGCGGGGTTGTTGGGTGACGAAGCGCGGATGTCGCAGCAGGGAGGCACGAGGATGGGAGTGCAAATTCAAACATGGAAGGGGGCGGCTGCAACGGCTTACGCAGGGGAGGTTTGGATTAAACGTTGCGGGAGTACTTGGGGGAAACTGGAAGTGGGAATGCCTGGGTCGTGGAAAGCTGCAACAGTAGATTGTGAGAGGTATGTGCTGTGGAAGGAGTGTTTGTGTGTGTGTGTGTGTGTGTGTGTGTGTGTGAGAGAGAGAGAGAGAGAGAGAGATGGGGGCTNTAAACCAAATGCATTATTTCCCCTGACTTGCTGCAGTTGAGCCAGGCTGCTGCAGGACCTCAAAAAATAAGCAGCTACTTTATGGAGTTGCAAATGGAAGTTATTCCAAATCAGTTTTTTTGCTTTTAAATCCAAGCAATGTGTTACTCTTAAATATGAACTTTCTATGTATGGTGCTACCGCTACTTTGCCATTTTACATGTATTCAGTTTTAGGAATACAAAGCACAGAGCATAAGTGATTCTGTATTGATAGCATAGAATTTGAAGCTGTTGAGCTAGTCCACAATGCTATTTTGCTACTCTGTGCTTTAAAATGTTATTATTAGGCAAATGGTTTTTTAATCTTATTCTACATAAAAAAAGTAAGACAGAGGAACAGAATTTTGATCATTTTGATATCTTTGTCTATTTGTGTATGATCTTATAGGATCACCTAATGTTCCCACGGATGTTAATGAAACTGGTCAGCCTTCGGACTTTAAGTAGTGTTCATTCTGAACAAGTGTTTGCTCTTCGGCTACAGGACAAAAAGCTACCACCACTTCTTTCAGAGATCTGGGATGTCAATGAATGAGTATACTATCGAAGGACAGTGAACGATTACACTGATTATCTTTTGCCAATAAAAACTATTCTCCTTTATCAAAAGCACTGAAGCAATGCAGAAGACTGTGATTTCTTTGCTCTGATGAAATATATACAGTATATAGAAAACAAATGAGATGGATGAGATGATGTTTTAGTCACTGAACTGAACTGAACCACTTAAGATGGAAGAAAAAAAGAATACCCCCTAATCACTTTGCAGGCGGTTTTTCTGTAACCCATTTTTCATATTTAATTTCAAGGCCACCATCCAGATGTATAGAATCTTTTTGGGAATTTTAGAGGCAAGCTTCCTTGTATATCTCTTCTTTTTTGGTCCTCTAGGTTGTATGTAGCTAAAATATTTCAAAAACATTCAAAACAATTAATAGACTTGGAATTGACTGTATGTGGCTTAGGTGCCTTTTTGTGGACTTTTCAGAAGCATCCCTTTGGATTGAAAAGATCGTGACCCGTCAAAACCGCGGTCCACAAAAGCGCGATCGACGAAAGCGCGCATTTGACATCATCACAGCACGACGAAAACATCGCGCTGTGAT